AACTGGCTGTGAGAAAGGTGTGCATTATATTCTATAAGACTGAGCTGATCTGTGTTTTCTTGGCGTTGCTCACATTCCTGTCGCGCCTTTGGGTGTGTGCACTGCATGGTAGGATGAACTTGAGATCCTGGATTCACAGACAGTCAAATGTCACAGCAAACATGCCAGAACTGACATGATTAGTAGTTTCAGTCTGAGCAGAGGCAATACCCTTGCACTGAGTGTTTTTTAAATAAAAACAGCTCGCCTCACATTATTTAGAGCTGAGCGAAAGTCAGCTGAATTCCTCTGTATTAGGATGAGTCAAGGCTGAAGGAGTCGAACACAGGAGCATTTGTCAGCTGAAATGAGGAAATGACTGGCTGAGGTGTGACGCAAGAGGGCCTTAACAGAAAAAACCAACCCATGTCATCAACCTTAATGTCTGCAGCGGGTCTATCGGGGAAAATGGTCATTTCCATCTGAATCCTTGACACCTCTTCAGAGACAAACAGGTAAAAAGGCTTTATGGAGGCTAATTGGGTGTCCTGCTTGCTAAGTTCATCTGGTAGTAAAACAAGTAGTTTTAAGGGAGCTTAAGAGCCATGGACCTATAAATATCCTACTAAAATCCCCCTGGATTTTTAGTTTTGCTGAAGTCCTTGCAGATACCCAAACTTGCAAATAAGTGAAAGTCCTCATAAAAATCTTTCTTTAGTGTGTGTGCTGAACTGAACTCCTAGACGTCTCCAATTCTCTTCACATAGCAACTTGACGAAACCCTGAAACATCTCTAAATAGAAGTTAGTACAGAGTTTCAAAAAATATCCCGATGGCCCTTCAGCCCCCTTAGCATGCTTTAGCGCTTGTCACTACCCGATCTGTACCGGAAACCCGATGTGTACCATGATGCGTGAATCTTACGTCACTTCCTCTCTTTGCCAACATTGCGACGGTTAATGTATTTGAATGGCACGGTTAGCGCCCAGTTAGCTCCTAGCATTTCTCAACAGCTCTGCCTCCTTTTCGACTGCCCGGGACATTTAAACAATGGATAATCCGTATACAAACAAAGTCGTGCTTTTCTACTCAACAGAGAGCGTCCCCCGATTGAACAACAGCGCCGTAAAATAAGAAGAATGGCGCCTAATTACAGACTTAATAATACTGACTTAGTAATGTGTCACGTGAAGATTCATCAGCCAGATTAAGTGTTTACTGACAATTGACAGTGATAGCGAACATCATCATCACTACTCCAACAATCCTCTCCACACAGACAAGCATGAACACACTCTATCACTAAATCAAGTTTAACACACGTTTATAATGACTAGGGATGGGTATCGAAAACCGGTTCTTGTTGAGAACCGGTTCCCACTGTTTCAATTCCTTGGAATTGTTTGCCATTTTAACAAACGATTCCCTTATCGATTCCAGTCGCCCCGAATGACGTCACCACGTTGTGGAAACACGGCGCCTAAGCGGCTCAAACGCTCAAAAGTTTGATTATACTTTACGAGAACAGATGACAACAGGGCAACTTGCAATACTTGCAAAGTAGATATTTCATTTAAGGGAGGAAACACTACAGTGGGGCAAAAAAGTATTTAGTCAGCCACCGATTGTGCAAGTTCCCCCACTTAAAATGATGACAGAGGTTAGTAATTTGCACCAGAGGTACACTTCAACTGTGAGAGACAGAATGTGAAAAAAAAATCCATGAATCCACATGGTAGGATTTGTAAAGAATTTATTCGTAAATCAGGGTGGAAAATAAGTATTGTGGAAAATAAGTACTCATATGACCATGATGAGAGAGACAGACAGAGTCTGGCTCAGATGCTGGCAGCTGTCGCTGCAGTCTACTGTTAGCGTCTCCTTTCAGGCCAGGATAGACGAACGTCACCGAGCAGTGACTAAGTTTGTGGTTAAAGGCTTGCACCCATTTGCCACAGAAGATGTTCCCGATTTTTGGTAAGTGAATGTGTGTAATTGTAGGCAGGGACATTACTGGATATTCTTGTGTAATTGCCACAGAACAATTTATGTTATACTTTGTTATTGCTACAGAAGAATATTTATTTTATTATTTTACATTTACATTTTTTTTCCTGGGGACCCTGTGACACCCCATTGAAGAGCCGTAGGCTGGATCTCTTAAGATCTCACTGCTGGGTTTGTAAGGCCATGTTAATCCTAGATTTCTATCTTGTTCAAAGAGAAGATATAAAACAAAGTTCTAAGCTAATCGACCTTAGTGTTCTCCTTTTTTAAAGAGAATCGATAAAGAATCGAATCGTTAAACAGAATCGAAAATGGAATCGGAATCGTGAAAATCTTATCAATACCCATCCCTAATAATGACGCTACTTCGGTTTACAATAGGGTTCATTCGCTCGGTCAGCAAGTGGCGGTATCCTTGTACAAACTGCCATTAAATGAAACAGAAGAATAAGAAAACATCTGCACATGCGTGGTACGGATCCTGTAGACCCGATTTATAACTATCTTTGTTTTTGTCTACATTATATAGAAAGGTTTCATTATCGCACACATTTTAAGAGATACCTATTATTGTTAACACCTTAATACAGGGGTAGGGGACGTTAGTCCTTAAGAGCCAGTGTCCTGCAGGTTTTAGATCTCACCCTGGGTCACCACACCTGAATCAAATGATTAGTCCATTACCAGGCCTCTGGAGAACTTCAAGACATGTTGAGGAGGTAATTTAGCCATTTAAATCAGCTGTGTTGGATCAAGGACACATCTAAAACCTGCAGGACACCGGCTCTCGAGGCCTGGAGTTCCCTACCCCTGCCTTAACAGATACTCTGACCCGTAACTATCGTAAAATGCTTCGAGCGGAAGTACACGCCTGTCGAAAATGCATGGTACGGATTGGGTTTCCGGTACAGATCGAGTAGTGACAGCTCTCTTGGTGGTCCACTTTCTCAGGATATTTTAAGAGTTTATGGAGACTTCTTTTGGTTCCGTTTCTGTTTTGGGGGTCTTTTGTGCCTATTGCTGGGTTTTGTGTCTAGTGTCTTGTGGAGATGATTTTGAATGGCTGCTTCCAAAGAACACCTGATGGTCTCTACAGCCCAGCCATATATCCAGTATACAGACCTGCTGAACCCTGTCATCTAAACTAGAAAACCTCAAAATATCCTTTAACACCATGACAAACCAGTTGATGAACTCTCTTCTACATTACAGCTGTACTGCGACACTCCCCATTTGAACAGTGTGAACCAGGGAGGGTCAGGGTGGAGGACTGGCTTTAGTGAAAACAAAGGTTAAAAATTAAACCTGGGAACTCGGTTCCCATCATGTTACCACTGACAAAGTTAGCATACTGTGAACATTTTGACTTCCTCAGCTCACTGATGTTATCTTTTCACTAGTTTGAATGTGAATGTGAATTTGAATGAATGTGGTGGTGTGAAAGTGCAGAAAAAAACCTGATATTTCCTGTGTTTACAGTGCAGGAGGCAGCCTGTGGCTGAAATCAGAGCTGTCATTTACATGAAGCTGTGCACACATGCAGACACGTGAACCAATACTATCAGCTCACTTAGCGCTGAGACATAAATCCAATAATGAGCAGGCTGCCTCCACAGCTCTACACATAACTGAGGAAATACATCCAGAGCTCAGTGAGAATCCCATATTATGACAGATCTATGGTCCCATACATTGCTCAAGGATGGTGATCAAGATAAAATGAAAAGTTACTGTGCTGCATTGTATATTTATTAATGAATTGCCCTTTGGTGCACACCCCTGTCCTCTACTTTTACCACTTAATCAAAGTCCAAATTCACTCCCCACAGCCTGTGGCACATTTAGTTCAGTTCAAAGTAAACTGTTTTTTCCCTGTGAGTAATCATTGTAAATAAAACGGATCTGGAATAGGTGTGATGATGGGTTTTGCTGTAACTCAGCTGCCCTACATGCGTGCAGCACTGTATGTTTGGAGAATTGTATAGATTAGGATCTATTTACGGTCAGTTGGGAGTTCATTTTGCATCCATGGATACAGTCTGTTGTGACTATAGAAGCACAAACATAGGAAAAAATGAAAGTCTCACTGAAATACTACAGGAGGCTTTGTAAGGTCGATTTCAACAGAAATATAGACAGGCGTGGTGAAAAGATGAGAAAACCTGACAGAAACCGATAAGGACTACGCGTTTATGTTGCATTATTTAGAAATGGTACCACTATACAGTGATAAAACACACTATATGTACACATATCTAGCTACCAACACATATACCACATAAGGCTTTCTCCTCTAGCAGCACAGTAGCAGTAGGTTATTTTTTTGTGTTTTAACGCACATCAACATTCAGAGCTAAAGAAAGGTAAAAACTGCAGTTCCTCTAACGTCAGCTAGAGGCTGGCTAGTGAGACTCTAATGTTAAAACATACAGTGGAAATTGAAAGAAAAAGCTGTGCAGCTAAATTTGACCTTCATAACAACTGTAAAGGGTTATAAATGTTCATATAACTCACCTATTCAAACTATATTAATGCTAGGGGGCGTGGCCACTATTTTTAATGACGGCTGCTTGCTAGGTTTCACTCGAGCTAATTGGAGATGCTGAACCTTGTGCTGCTTGCGCCTTTCAAAGCATTTTATTACCAACACGTCCCTTTTAGGTCCCTGCAAAAATCCAGCATGGTCGCGGCCAGAACACCAATTTTGAAGCCAAAGCCATAGCTGTGGCCATCTTTTAATACAGTCTATGCTTTGCAGCCAAACAAAGGTGTGTGTTTTTAACGCCTAACCAGTTTCTGATATCATATTCACAGTTTAGGTGTAAAATCTGTCCTTTCCAGAACTCTGATGTGACAGAGAGACTAAAACACCCTCAACAGCCTGGTGGATGTAGCCCACGTGATGTAGGTATATGAGATCAAAGTGGGAACATCATCACAAATAACTGGTTACATCACGCACTGTGGACATGTCAGTGGAAATGCGTGCGTTAAATGCGATCTCCGGCTCCCACCTCCTCCTCTGCGGCCGCTCCGTTGCCTACGTGGGCCATGTCCGCTCCCGGTGCCTGTTCTCCCTCTGGTCCGCGGGTCGCCTGGTTCCGCTACGAGGACGGGCAGAGTCCCATGACAGCTGCAGCCGAACCTCCGCTCCTCTGCGGCTGCGCACGGATCTCCTTCTGCTCCTCTGTGCTCCGTTTATTTTGATTCTTATCGCCGTAGGTCCGCTTCGTCCTTGAGTCAGGCGCGCTTCTTTGCCTCTGCTCTCTTCCGTGAAAGAAACACGGAGAGAAAACACACCTCCCACATTTCCGTTTCTCCGCCCATAGAAAATAGAAGAGAGGGAGGAAATGAAGGAGGAGAGGAGAGAGGGAGGAAACGGAGGAGGCCAATGTTTGTGTAAGCAGATCAGGCAGAGGCGCAGATTACATGTGAACACGGGGCGGGGGCACATTAAGTGTGTATGGGGGGGGCTCGTGTTTATTAATGGGACAAAAAAAACACTAAAACCAGACAGCAGGCAGAAGTTCAACCTGTTTTGATTCAAAGCAAATCCCTTTTCTTCTGTGTGTCATATATAAATTATATTAACTATAAATTTAAAATGGCCACGTTATTAGGCACAGGCTCCTCTGCATGTTAATGCAAGTATCAAATCAGCCAACTGTATTGTAGCGTCGACATGCTCGACATGGTTGAGTTCAGACTGGGGTTCAAGCTGTGGCTGGTGTGAGAGTGCCAACTGAGCCTTGTTTAAACAGCCTGCCCAATTATTGTCCGGGCCTTTATGATGGCAACATGACACACTGCCTACATGACGATGAGTTCACTGTCCTCAAATGGCCTCCACAATCACCAGATCTCACTGCAGCAGAGCAGCTTAGGGATGTGGAGGAACAGGAGATTCACACCATGGATACGCAGCCTGTCACTACCAAGGTGTACCTAATAAAGTGGTCGCTGAGTGTATGTGGGTAAAATAATAATAATCAGACTTGAGACTCTTTAAGTTTGTAAAATTCTTATTTGTGAAATAAAAAAAATACATATTTACATGAAGACCAAGATAACAGGAATAAAACTGCTAATAGGAATAAAAACACATCATTGAATCACAAAAAAACCAAAAATTAAAACGGCCAGAACTGTCTGTAGGCCTCGTGCATCTCAAGGTTTAATGCTTCAGTTTAAAAAAAGAAAGAAAAAATATCAGCCCCAGTGACGGCGATGACAAAAAACTTCATAAGAGATGACAGAGTCAGAACTGTGTCAGGTGCAGGAAAATCTCGCCTCTAAATGTCACAGCAACAGGACGTCAGCTTAAACAGCAGGTACACATTAATGCTTAGGTGTGTAATGCTCTCGCCGTCAGTTTAACGCTCATTACATTAAAGTGGAAAAAAGACAAACATCCAGTTAAAATAAAATCAGCTGCTCCAAAGCGCTTAATAACTTAATAAGGTGGCCTTAGCACAACAAGCTGTGGGGTAAGAACAGCACACCTGCTAAGGTGTGACAGTCCACACTGCGAGAAGTTAAACAGGTAAGCACGCTACTGCCCAATGAGGTAAGTGGTTTTGGAAAATCCTATTGTGTGTCTGTGTTGCTCCCCCCAGTAGCAGTTGGTCCGGTCCAGGCTGCTTCCAGTGATGATGAGCCGTCAGGAGGAGTCCACTGGAGCTTTTGGAGAGGGGGG